AGACTTTGGAGCTAATATCTAAAGATTTTTGGTGGCCTCAAAAATAGAAGGTAGTCAAAGAATTTATACAATCATGCAACATTTGTTCAAGATTCAAAACTCTTCACCATTGACCTTATGGACTTCTTTAGCAATTATTTATTCCAAAACAACCAAGGTCTTCTGTTTCTATGGATTTTATCAAAGATCTTTGAATCTGAGGTTCATATGATTATATATTTGTGGTATTAGATTTTTTTATAAAAATAATATATTTTATACTATATATAAAATCTATCACATGTAAAGAAATGAATAAGTTTTTTTTTAACAACATTTATTGCTATCACGGATTGCATAAAGATATTATATTAGATAGAGGAACTCAATTTATATCAAAATTTTGGAGAATCCTTTTTAAGATTTTAAAGGTAAATAAAAAGCTATCTTTGGCTTTTCATCCTCAAATTGATGGACAAAGAAAATGGGGGAATCAAATTTTGGAGCAATACTTGAGATATACTATCAACTATTATCAAGATAATTGGACAATTTTTTTAATCATTGATAGAGTTTGCATACAATAATTTGATACATTCTTCTACTCAACAAACACATTTTTTTGCCAACTATGGTTATCATTAACGACTTGATACTTTTGACTTTTTAAAAGTTAATAATCTTGAGGCAAAAGATGTGATAAATCGTTTATCAAAGCTACATACAACAATAAAGGCATAGTTAAAAGGAGCTTGAGAACAATAAAAAAGTTAATGTAGATGCATATCACAAGGAATAATGACAATTGAATGTAAGTCATAAAGTATGATTACTTCATCACAATATCAAGACTACTCATCTTTGTGACAAGTTGGACTATTGTAGGCTTGAACCTTTTTTTTATTAATGAACAAATTAATCTTGTTGCTTATCAATTATATCTACCAAAGTCTATGAAGATCCATCCCATATTTCACATATCTCTTTTTGAGCCATATAAGACAATGAATATCTCAAGAAAAAAATCAATGCCATCTCCTCATATAAAAGTGGATAATAATCAAGAGTTCAAGGTGGAAAAAGTCTTAGATTTAAGACAGTGCCAAAATAGGTTAAAATATCTTATTCATTGGAATAGATATGATATTAGTGAACGCACATAGTAGCTAGCAAAGAATCTTGCAAATGCAGCAAAGAGAGTTGAAGTTTTTCATTAACAACATCCATCAAAACCAAGATGAAAAGTAACAAATCTTTATTATAAAAAAAATAAGATAAAAGGAAAATAACACTCTATCTTTCTATCTTTCTTTTTAGCTTCTTTGTATTTGAGATATTAAGAAGATGGAGAACCAACAACCAACAGATTCAACTTAAGAACTTTCATTTGCGGACTTATCAAATAAGACATTATAATTGTTATAACCTTCAAGATGAAAAAATCAAGATGAAGATCCTGAAGAATGACATGTCTTTCCTTGAATAGATGGCAAGATACAACGTATTTGGTATCACAATCTTGGAAAGAACCTTCCAATGTTTGGTAATTTTATTAGAGGTAGGAAGAATTCTTGACGGTGTCTCAAATGTTTTATTTGAAGGAAGTTATAAAGGCCTCAATAATGACCAAATAACAAGATGGTCTTCTTGCCCTGATATAGGATACTATTGATGGTTGAGAGGACCTATCAATTATCTTTGAAGAGAACAAAGATCAAAGTATGTGGCAAATATAATATGCTGTATCTTAGATCTCCTCAATATATGAAGACCGCTTCTCATAGAACTTGTCTCTAAAAAAAGGAGTAATGTCATGGATATACATGGATTTTATAATAAATATCTATATGATTAGATAGAAATAGATAAAAATAGATATAAATAGATTAATTTTATAATGCCTTCTAAAAAAGCTTCCTTGAAGCTTTATAGATATTGCTTTGACTTTACATGTGTTTGTAGTTGATTGGTAGGTTAAAAACTTAGTCAACAAATTAACCACATGTTGGTAGCTTACAAAACAAGATAATTATGTAGCATACATATAGAAAACTTGCATTGCAAATTAAAATATGTGTCTTACAAAGTCAACACATTTTGGAGGTTTTATAGGACATAACTATGTAGCTCCTAGTTAAGAGAATATATAGAGGCAAGAGTGAAGCCTTCTTCACTCTTGTCAACACCTTTTTAGTTCTTAGTCTTGTTTTTGGCAACAGCCATTCTATCATCTTTTAGTGACTTTCTAATTTTTTTTAGGGATACAAGAGTGTATTGAGGATTTTCTTTCTTTGAGATTCATGTGCTTGACACTTTCAAGGTATTTGATTTATTTTAATTAATAGTAATTTCTTACAAAAATAATTAAATTATAGAAAGAAACTAAAATGCAAGCCATATCTTTATAGTTGTTTCTTAATTTATAACTTATTTTTTTAGTATACTAAATTTTTTAAGATAAAATCTTGTTTGATTTATTGATTGAAAGTCCTATCAATCTTTTTATCACTTTTGTTCTACGTTTAATTTAGATTAGTAGCAATTTTAATATATCTAGTCTTGTTAACTATCTAACTTATATATCTTTTATAATATTTTTACTTAGATATAACATGACATATTCTAAAATACATATGTTTTTATATTTTAATTTTTAAAATTAAAATGCCAAATAAAATATAAATATATTGGTATAAATTGTATTAAATATTTGAATTAAAGTACTAATAATCTAAATTAGACTATTTTTTTTTATAAATAATTTTATGAATTTAAAAATAGTAAGGTATATCAATACAATATTTCTATAAATTAGAGTACAATGTATTTATTAAAGCTATAAGTAAAACCATATATATATATATATATATATATATATATATATATATTAGACTTAAATTCAATAACAAAAAATTCTATAATATAATAAAATATTAAGTTTTTCAAAATTTTAGTATTTTTTTAATAAAATAAAAGATTTCAAAGTAGTCTTATATTTAATAATAGTAAAATAGGCATTAAGTTAATTGAAGTTAAAATTATTCTTTCAAATAATAGCTTGCCAATATTCTTAATATATTATATGAAGTTAAATCTCATGAGGTCTTTATATTTAAGAAATAAGATGAATGGCTACTATTTTTAAATTTATTTTGTGGTTGAAATTAAGAATCTTTATTTCATTGTCTTTTTATTTAAATGCATTAATCTAACAACCTCAACATTGCAATTAATGATTTTAATGTAGAATGGAATGTAATATTTTTACATGACATAAATAATGTTGTTGTTTTTTATTATTATTATTATTATTGGATCTATATGAAGAGATGATTTTTTAGAAAGTTTAAAGAGCTATATTGTAACAGGGCATGGATAGGATATTTGTATTATTTGCACATAGAGATGTATAGGTGAAATTGTTTTTGGAAAATTTCTAGAATTGAGGTTAGGATGATAATTCATGTGGGATTGACCATGGAGCATTCTAAAAAAGCTTAGGACGGTTATCATGGTGGGATCCACTATTAGGGACATTCTAGAAAGTTCCAAGATAGTTGAAACAAGTATAAATAGGACTAAGTAAGACCATTTGGGCATTTATTTAGATATGGCTTCAGATTCTTTTTCTTAGTAAAGTTTGGTTTTCTTATTCTGTTCTATTTGGTTCTATTTAATTTTGTTTGGTTCTATTCTCTTCTACCTAATCCTATATTTCAGGTTCTATTCGTTTTAGTTACTTTTAGTTTTATTTTGGTGTCTTTAGTTTTACGTTGTATCAAGATCTTTATTGTTATGGATTTGGTAAGGTTTTTGACCTTAGAAGATTTGGTCCTATTTCATGTATTAAAAATGCTAAAAAATATTTAAAAATGAGAATTTGATTAATTTGTACTTTTCACAATTATTAGAATTGTTATGAATTGACATTTTAGATTTGCAATTTAAAAAAATCATTTGGTTCATTTTTTGACCTCTTACTTTATACAATATTTAAAAGGCTTCCAAAAGAACACCTTTGTCACCTAACAAAAAACCTTGATAGGGATTTTAAACCATGATTCGTCAAAGTAGGTATTTACATATAAAAACCCCCTTATTAAAATAAAATATAGGACAAAACATGAATCAACCTGGTGGTCTTGGTGAGTCAATAATATCTCCAACAAACCGCTCTGTAAACGAAAAAAAAAATCTTGGTCAACTAATTCCCTCTCCACTTGCATTAGAATCTGGATGTTGTACCAATAAACTTTCCACAGTGACATCCTGCAAAATAAAAGCAAAGAATATCAGTGCAATATAAACAAATTATCAACCACTTGTCATATCTTTTGATGACACATGTAGAAGATGAACCACTAATGAATCTTCACCATTCCCAACTCACAAGCATCAGTGGAAGAACAACCCCAAATTCAAGTTGAGTATCTGAAAGTGATGCATCCAACATATGGACACTGAATCAATGATACATACTTAACTTCATGACCAGTTTAGGTCACACGAATTCCTGAATAAAATAGAACGGGAGCTGTGGGAGCAAAGCTTCCAACTCACATCAAACTATTAAACTCAACTCTAATCTGTTGAACAGTTAAGGTAAAAATGTTACTCCTAAATGGCCAAGAAAATGTCACCTACAGTATCTATATTCACTGAAATGACTAGAAAGAAAGTAGAAACCAAGTAGACTCAGTGCATGGGATGATGTTAGACACCCACGACTGTACCGAGGTCCCAAAAACAAACACAAATCAGAAAACGAAGTCGAAAACTTCGTGAATCGAAACTGTGATTGAAACAGAACCAGCATCCATTGAAGTACACAAGAGTTTAACAAGAGTTAACCAAAAACGATGAAGAAAAAGAGTTTCATGAATCCGCGAGAATGGGGGTCTGTGGAAGATACGCCTCATTGTGGGGGATATTTGCCGACATATGTCCAACAAGTGCATGCCACATGGGAAGTGCGTGGCACATCGCAATGTATTTGACTCAGCCCTATCTGCTCAATGGAACACTCTGAAAAAGCTGTTGTTCTTCTGTATCGATGTGATATACCCTGTTCGAGGTTTCAGTTGCAGGGTAATACTTGAAGATTAGTGCAAAGTTGATTGTGTTGTGGGGATCACAGGATTTTCGATTGAGCCTATTCGTGCGCTAGGTGGTGGCTTGAGTCGCATCATTTAGGTAATGGTTGTCATTGTATTGATTTGGGTGAAGTTGAGCGTGGTCGGTGGTTTTCAGGTGTAGAGGACCGATCGCCATTACTTTGTGTAGTTTCGCATCCCTTGTGATTTTACAGAGATGGTTACCATGGTAGGAATTGGTATCAATTTCTGGAACATTTCGATCTGGTCTAGATTGTAACTTTTGAGGATTAATTGGTGGCTTTGAGATTGATGCTTTCATGGTAAGGAAGGTGTTTTGAATGATTCTAATTTGTTCAATTTGCAAGTTCAGTTGATTGTTCGCGAGGTTTGAGAAAATGGGGTTAGACGTGGAAGCTATGGTGCACGGGCAAACAGAGTTTACAATAGACTTGTATAAGGCTGTTGTTAAAGGTAAGGAAACAGAGAATGCGGTTCTGTCACCTGTTTGCATTAGCCTAGCATTAGCGATGGTATCGGCTGGGGCTAAAGGACCGACACGGGAGCAAATTGCGAAGTGCATCAAGCTCCCAGAAGGCGAACCCATGCACAATTTCTCGTCGCAAGTGAAGATTGCCTTGCTGGCTGACGGGAGCGGTGCTGGGGGTCCGCAACTCTCACTTGCTAATCGTATCTGGGTGGAGCAATCCGTGAAACTGAAACTAGAGTTCCAAAAAGTCCTCAAGGATAGCTACGGATCTGAAGCTGCATCAGTTGATTTTCGTACCAAGGTACCCTAATTAATTCCATTTCAGGAACAACACGTCTTGCTGTAGTTTTTTGTGAAGATGGATTATACCTTATACAATTGTGCCTCCTTTCTCATGGTTTTAATAGGACTTTTTCCGTGTTATAGTTTCCTGTTTCTGTGCTTTGTTGAAGACTTGCAGCTGGAGTTCAGATTTCTTGTTGCAATTTAACAATCTCTTAATGATCTCATGCTTAATAGTTACTTGTTTGTCAAGTCCCTACATTCCAGAAAGTGGAGTCTTGATGAGCTTCTTATGATATGAGTAGTGTTGATAGGAGGCGTTAGACACAGATTTTAATTGTAATACTGGCGTAGTACAATCTTAACGTATTATAGTTTCCGAAGGTTATATTTTGAGCCTAGAACTTATTCAAAAGATTATGTGAATCTTCTTAAATTCACAGTATCTGAATGCTGTTGTATGGCAACATTCCTCAGTATGTGAATTGGATTCTTTTGACTCAATTCCGTCATTTGTATTGGTTAAGTGCAGGCTGACGAAGCTCGGGGTAAAGTAAATGAATGGGCTAAAGAAGAGACACATGGAAAAATTGAGGATCTGCTTCCTCCAGGTTCAGTGGATCAAGGAACGCACATTGTGTTAGCAAACGCCCTTTATTTCAAGGGAGCATGGAAGAAGCCATTTGAGGAGAAAGACACAAAAGACGGCGAATTCTTTTTGCTGGATGGAAAGAGCATTAAAGTGCCTATGATGCACACAACCAAGAAGCAATACGTGAAAGATTTCTCCACCTTTAAGGCTCTTCGCTTGCCTTACTCCAGTGGCCATGACCGACGTTCCTTTTCAATGTTCATCCTGCTGCCCCATGAGAAGAACGGCATCACTGAGTTTGAGAAGTCACTTGACTTCAAAACTCTGGCAGAAGACCTCAGCAAGGTCAATCAAGAAGCGCCAATGAATCAGTTCGCACTGCCCAAGTTCAAGATCTCTTTCAGTTTTGAGGTCCCTGAAGCTCTTCAGACACTTGGCTTATCTTTACCGTTTGGTGAAGAGGCAGATCTTACAGAGATGGTGGATTCTTCCTTGGCTGACAAACTCTTCGTTTCAAATCTGTATCATAAAACTTTTGTAGACGTAAATGAGAAGGGTACAGAGGCTGCGGCAGCCACGGCTGCCACAATTACTTTAAAAGGCATCTCCATGTTCCAAGACCCTATAGACTTCATCTGCGACCACCCCTTTCTTTTCGTCATCAAAGAAGAAGTGACCAATGTGATTATATTCACTGGCCGCATCACTGATCCCTCTGTAGAAAAGTAGAGTTTTTGTAAAAAGCAGATGTATTATATTCCAGCAGCTTGATGTTTCATTTTCGAGGGCGCAAGTACCAGCTTGGCTTAACATGGCCTTGATTTGGTGCCTTCTTACAGATACAATGATAACCGTTGAAGGGTCAAATTGGTTACCTCAGCATGTTCTGGTATTTTTCTACAGAGTTAAGCTTGAGTTTGGCGTGCTGTTACTGCAATTAAGTGGTGGCACTGCGTTGTCGGACGCAGCTGATGCTTTCAACTGGATTGCAGTGTAATGAAATCCTAGAATTGATACTAAATAGTGATCGTGTTTAAGGGTGTGAGACACTGAAAAACGCAGGGTATAATCAGCAACCATGTGAAGAAAGTCTAGCTGCCCCTTGACTGTTTCTATAAAAAAAATTGTTTTCAACTTTTGCTTCCGTGTGATAGCTAAGTTAGTAGTGTTCGCAAGATTAGGAGCTTTTAATTGACTAGTTGCATATTTTGTTGCAACATATAGATCGTGCTTCCAAATTGCATCGTAGTTCGACACATAACACTCGTGTTGGGACACGTAACGTTCCTGTTGGATACTTGAAACTTGTGATCTCCTATGTTCCAGGAACAGGGATTGATAAGAGTCAAGATTAGTTGTAGCAAGTTAAGCAAGAAAAATGGTAGATATTTTTTGTGAATGGAAATGTGGTCCCAGTATCATGAAGTGGGATGAAAGGCAAGCTAAAGAATTTCAAGAGCAACTTTTCTATGGGGTGGATTTAAAAAATGCTCATACGGATGTCTGCTGCATTTGAGGGCAATGGAACTCGAAAGCTTTGCGTAAAGCTCCGACCTACTTACAACTGTTCACATAGCACGAATACCCTTAGATGGCCACTTTTACGATGGGTCTCCTTGGAAAAGTTTCTGATAACGCCAAAAAGTAGAGTTGACAATCTCTACATTTGACTCGAATGTCTGCAAATAAATAATTTCTCGTTGAGTTGCAAAGCAGCCACTTGAACTCAATAAATGCTCTTCGTCTTCTTAGTTTATGATTTGGTGTTGACACGTCGTGGAGAGAAATGGGTACAGTAGGTTTATCCAGACATCGAACATAAACATCACATCGGGGTTTTTGAGGAGACAACAACCCATTCAAGACAGACAAATAAAAAATACAGACAGACGCTCTCTAAGGTTTAATGCGGAAAAAAGATTTCATGCTGTGACAATAAATACGTCAAGAAAATTGAGCAATCCAAAAAGAACTTTTTTTTTCTCAGACATCCAGATCTGTCTCAAGCGGCGACTTCGCTGCTTCGAGTTCTAGGACCGACCCACAATTCAGAGCGATGTTCAGTTCTCTTTGAACAGTTGCAAACTTGCTGATCAAGCAGAAATTTTACTCTTCACACGCTTTAGAGCCATCAGTAACTGTGAACGAGAGGAAGACGACATTCTCAAAGTCCACATGCCAGCTCAAACTTAAGTTTATCTTGTATTCAGAGAGGTTTGTAGGGACAATAGCTGTCAGGAACTGATATTCAATACTACTTTGATTTCTCGAACCCAAGATGACGCCTTGTGCCTACTTGCGTGCAGACTGCCACCTTCGCGAGACATTCGCAGAGGCAATAATTTGTCAACTTCGGAGATTCTGGTGCAAGTGGCGTCAGAGGAACGAAAAGTATCACTCTAGAGCTAGCGCTGGATAAAGCACTATTCTTCATATTTTTAAATTCATATTGAACAACACAGAGTAGCTCAAAGAGCAGCTCACGACTCTAGCCCCTAATCTATGAAGTCCACTGAGTCAACACGTGGCCTGTACTAGGTTGATCTGTAGACTTACTTAAGTTGAAAATCAATTCAGTCAAGCAACACATTTTATTATAAATCAGAACGTGCAATGAATCGAAGTAGGTTTATCAGTCATATCGCTGCATGTGACGTTTGGGAGCCGGACCGACCTGCACTTTGAATTGGGTTCGGTTGCTCTCAGCTTTTCATTGTCGAGTTGTATGAATTTCTACATAACAATGTTCTGATCGATCATGATACTTCACGTTCACAATTCCACGGTTTCAGATCTTACAGGACCAGAGATAAGAGTAAGCGTCGCTCTGGGTGAGCAGCAGGATCCAAGGGACGTTAATATCATTCAATTCCGCCTCTCAAGTGATCCAGTATGGAGTTCCTCACTGAACCTAAACAGGCCTTGGTCACAATCACGGTGCTCCTTCTGACTTTGTTGGCGCAGGCGAAGTATTCGATTGCTGAGACGCACTTTCTGTATTGGGAGGTGAGTACTCTTGACTTAAATTCTTTTCATGAAGTGGTGAAATCCTAGGTGGTACTAGATTTGGATCCTGCTCTGCGATTTTGTTAGATATTCAGAAGCTGCTCACTGAACCGCACACTGATCACTCGTCAGAAACGGATTCCCTCATTTGAACTGATTAGAAAACTAATCACTCAGCATTCGTTTCAGACTCCTATAAGTTCTACCCGGTATTGACGCTGCTGATGATGGCCAATGATGTTTTCTGTGAGCGCAGGTTGTGACAAAAGAATTTACACGTAACTGCGGTTCTGTGAACATTACGACTGTAAATGGCATGTACCCAGGTCCCGTCGTCAATATTACCGAGGGTGACACTGTGGTAGTCAATGTCACCAACATGCAAGAGTATCCGGTGACTATTCATTGGTAAATCTCGACACAAATGTTTTTACCTGACCCGTCTTGCGTACAATTCCCCCACTTTGGAAGTCAAGTATAATGCTAATCTTCACCACAACTTTGGCTGGGCAGGCACGGCATATTTCAGTTTATGACCAATTGGGCCGACGGGCCAGCTCATTTCACGCAGTGCTCTCTGAAGACTGGAAACTCTCAGATCTATGAGTTTATAGTATCAGGTCAGAGTGGTACATTTTTCTGGCATGCTCACAACAACTGGTTGAGAGCAACGATGTTCGGTGCCTTCATTGTGCACCCCAGAGATCCCCCACCGAATTACGGCGTCGAAGTAGCTGGAGAATTTTCGATGATTTCCGGTAAGATTGAAGTGATTTATTACACTAAATATGCTTACATGTCTGCTGTCTGCCCATACATCCACTGCATGAAATCAGTGTCGGAAACTTGACGCCGCAAATGGTTGCGAGCATCTTGTGTTTGATTCTAACCGGGCCATTTTAATGCAGGAGAATGGTTCGACACACAGCCAAATGATGTTGAAATGGGTTATTTGTACAGACCAATTCCAGTTGACACTTCGAAAACCGCCAACACTCTAAATGGCTTGACAGGGCCCTTGTATAATTGTACTCCAGGTTGGTGATTATGTCCTCTAATTACTACGTATCTAGTGTTCTAAACGTTATGCACAAATGAATTCAATCAGTTTCCCATTGAAGCAAACGTCGCCTTCATTACATGCTACAGCGAAATTGAATTTGATGTAAACCCGAATATGGCTCTAATCGAATATACGTCAATGAAATTATTGCAGATGACGTTCCAGAGACTCAGGTCTTCCGAGTACAGAATGGGTCAACATACTTGCTACGGCTGACTAACGCAGGGTTGAATAACAATCACTGGTTCACAGTTGCAAACCACACACTGACAGTTGTTTCAGTTGATGGTAACTATGTCAAGCCCTTCGCAACAGACGCGGTCTTGATCGCACCTGGACAGACCACCGACGTTCTCTTGACAGCCAACCAAACTATAGGTGAAATAAACCAGCCTCTTCACATTTTCAAATAAAACTCTTCAAGTTAAGTACTACACCTTTACTGAACATGAAGATGTAAACTGGTTGCCATCCATGCAGGATCGTATTACGGTGGTGTGGGCCTTGCACAGATCCCCCAAGTTGGGCCACCCTTAGAGGCAAGAGAAGCACTAGCAATTATTGAATATGAAGGAGCTCCTGCAGACTTTCCACTGAGTACACCACCTTTTCCAGCCCCATCCGACCCCATGGTGGTGGACGATTACACTGCAAAGGTCCTTGGCTACACGGACATGGACCTTCCAGAGACTATGGACCACAACTTAGTATACGTCGTTGGAATAGCCCTTGTTGACTGCATCCCTAGCGAGCCCTGCACATCAACACAAAAGCTTGCAGGAACAGTTCAGAATTTCACCTTCGATGAACCCCAGAACAGCTCAGTCTTGGAGGCCTACTTTTACAACATTTCAGGAGTATACGAGACGGGATTCCCCGAACTCCCTCCAGAGTTTATTGATTTCACTGGACGGCCCAGTCCCGAGTACGGAATCGGTTCCAGGGCAACACTTGTGAAGGAGCTGGAGTTCAACCAGACGGTGGAGCTTGTGCTGCAGAACGTGAATGCCGCTGTGATGTTGGACCACCCGTTCCACCTACATGGCCACGATTTTTACGTCGTAGGGCGAAACTATGGCAACTTCAACCAGACCACCGATCCAGCCACTTTCAATCTAAGGGACCCACCCAGGTTCAACACCATCTCGGTCCACAGTGGTGGCTGGGTTGCGCTGCGGTTCCGAGCTAACAATCCTGGTGAGTGAATATCGACAGCCTCCTTGGTTACATTTCTGGTGCATAATTTGTCTAGACACACAATGAAACAGTTTGAATGGGTTGTGGGAAGTGTGCTGAGAGGGGTATGAATGTTCTTTCCAGGTGTGTGGCTGCTTCACTGTCACTTCGAAAGGCATAAAACTTGGGGCATGGAAGCGGCGTTCATCACGAAAAATGGGACCCAGCTCAATGAAACGCTACCTGGTCCCAAACACCCATTGCCACCATGCATCTAGATGAGAAGCAGTGGATGGTAGCTCAGCTCACTATGGCTCACCATGTGCGGTGCTGCAGCAGCAAGTAAGCAACATACATGGCTGCACATACACAAACACACATACAGACAGACAGACTGCCCATCCCCCCTCCCCCATGACAACTTGCCAGCCTTTTTCATGTTCAATCTTCGTTGTTTCTGGATAGTCATACCAGTACTCATTGTTTGTTTTCTTCTTTTTGTAAAAATAGATTTATTACCATAGTTGTGGATTTCTCACTGTGCTGATGGATAGATATTTATTACAAAAGTTTGAATCAATGAATTTTTTATTTGCCTTTGAATTTTCATGTATGGTTTTTTTTTTTTTTTTTTTTTTTTTTTTTGGAAAAAAAAGGGACTCTAATTCTGTTGTGGTTTTTTATACCTTGACCCATGGTTTTATTTTATGGTATGATACGATGGCTGCTAGAATGAGAAAATAGTAATTGCACACTTATAAACCACAATATTTCAAGGAGTTGAGACAATAGTGATATAATATATTTGAAACAATAGTGATATACAAAATAATATTTGGTTAATAATAATATCACAATTGTCTCAACTCTCCCTACAACAAAAAATAGTGATTTTGGCTCTCATTTAGTGCAATAAATAAATATCAATCTAAAGTTGCAAAATTACATTTTGATATTATAATCTTTTCTTATGACATAAGATAAAAGTGCCTTAAGCTTTAGAAACTAAAAAACAATAAAATATTTATGCACGATTAATAGGACAAATTAAAATTCTAATAGCAAAAATATAAATGGCATGGCTTTTTAAGAGAATATGCAAATTAAGAAGCCCCAACTATATATATTGGCTTAAAAATTATAAAAGAGACTATAGATATCTATTCTCAGCTTTGTCATATTACAACAACCATAGTGTAATGAAGTGATAATATTTTGGCTATAAATAACTAAGTGCTAAAATCATAAATAAATATGATAGTTCAAATAATTTTGATATTATTCTATTATAATATTTTAATTTTATAGAATGAAAATTCTTGAAAATCTACTAGCATAAGCAACAATGGTACATTTTTTTGTTTCTATTATGAGATTTTATATTATCTTTATCTCAATTGTCATTCTCTTATACAGTACCTATCTTCATTAATTACATGTAGTCCTAAAATCTCAAGACTTTTTATGTATGTATTCTTGTACTTAAACTTGTTACTTACACTCTTCTATTCTACACCATATCCTTAGTTTCTTACATAATATCAAAGCAAATTATAAGCCTTTTAATATTATATAGTAGGTATGTACTATATTCATAAAAGATATTAGAGTCAAAAGTAAGCAATATCCAAACAAGATAGGTAAGGAGTAGTATTTAAGGCACCATGAATTTTTCAACCCCTTGGATATCCTAAAGCAAGGAAATTATGGTATTTAATCAAGTTAGCAATCACACTTCAATTCTAAATATGTATTATTTGGCCAACATTGAGAACTATGGTATTTAGGCATTCTACATGACAAATATTTTATAAAGAGATAGGTTGTATAAGTATTTTTTACATTATCAATTAACCCATTGCTTGAATTAAAATAAAAGAGCATGTAGCAACTATTGAATGTGATCACTATTGACATGAACAAAGGAGTTGTACTTAAGCTTATTAAATGCTATACAAAGTTGTATGTATGATAGATATCTTTAAAGACTTGTTTTAATATAAAAAATTTATTTATGAAGTTATATTAATTCACAAAACTTTTAGTATTAAAAATTTGAATTAATTTATATTACTTGATAAATTATTTAATATTAGAAAGATGAATAAAATAGATAAATTTCTAATTAATATGTAATTTATAGATTTGCTAAATAAAGTTGATATATCTTTATCAAAGAAGATTATTATTTTTTATGTTTTCAAAAATTTTCCTAAAAAATATGATGTTAAATAAATTATACTTAATAAAAAAAATTACCTATGATATCTTAAATTAGAGTCTACATTATTGAATGAAGAGATAACAAACAAACTGAATGATTATATTAAAAAGATATACAAGGCCTTGCTTTGTTATTAATCAGGTTTTAGACAACCTCACAACTATAAGCTAGTTAATCAAGGAGGCAAGACAAAAGCTTATAACTGTCGAAACTCTTACCATTTCAAAGGTTATTTAAGTTCTTATGGAGGATGTTACAATTCTAGCTCAAGAAGATGATACTTGCATAATTTATGAGAAGATTATTTGAATTATTAATATGGAGGCAATTGATATGATCAAGTTTGAAGTGAGTGTTATGATCAACTTGAACAACTCTTGAACTTTGATACTTGATTCAAGTTGGCATTAATAAAAAATCCAAGCTCTAAGTGTTTATGAATCAAATAAAAAATGTTGATCCAAGATTTTAAGAGGAAGAGTGAGAGCATCAAAGATGAATTATTAATGATTAAATTTAGAATGTTGATACTAATTAAAATGACAAGAACCACTAAGAGCTTAAAAATAATGTTAAAAATGTAAACCTTGGTCATGAAATTGGCTTTGCATTACAAAAGTAAATTCTTTAAATATAAAACTTTCCATAAAAATAAAAAAGCTATTAGACCAAAAATAATGACCTATAGATCTAATAAAATTAAAATTTTATTTTACATGCATTTGATAGTTATTGTGCAAAAAATGACATCAAAAGGAAATTCATTTAATTATACATTCTTCATTACAATAGAATAGCTAAAATGAAGAATTTCAAAGCAATACAAGTATCAAGAATAAAAATCAAAGCAATGTCTATAAAGCTTTTAAGAAGCTTTTATAGAAGATATAACTTATTTTTACCTACTTTTATTTAATCATATAGTTAATTATTGGTTTACATGTGTATGTCTATGACATTATCCCTCCTTCTAGGGATAAGTTCTATAAGGAGCAGTCATCATATATTGAGAAAATCTAACATGTGGCAAATTATATTTACTATATGTTTTGATTTTTGTTCTCTTTGAAGATAGTTGATAGGGCCTCTCAACCATCAATAGCATCCCATACTAAGACAAGAAGATCATCTAATTATTTGATCATTGTTGTGGCCTTTGTAGCTTCTTTCAAATAAAATATTTGAAACATTGTTAGGAATTATTCCTACCTCTAGTAAAATTACCAAACATCAAGAGTCCCTTCCAAGGTTAATATATCAAACGAGTTATATCTTGCCATCTATTAAAGGACAAACATGTCATTCTTGAGGATTTTCATTTCGATTGCATCATCTTGAAGGTTGTGACAATTATTATGTCTCATTTGATAAGTTAGTAAACAAATGCTCATGAGTTGAATCCGCTGGTTGTTGGTTCTCTATTTTTTTAGTGTCATAAATACAAAGTATCTATAATAAGGGTAGAAAATAGAATATTATCTTATCTACATTTTTTTTTATTTTTATAGATAAGGTCTTCATCTTGGTTTTGATAGATGTCATTGATGAAAAGTCTCTATCTTCTTTGTTGCATTTTTAAGATTCTTTGTTGGCTTCCATGTGATTCACTAAAATAATATCTATAACAATGAATAAGATATTCCAACTTATCTTGGTAATGCCTTGAATCTAAGACTTCTTCCAATTAAAATTCTTTATTATTGCCTACTTCTATATGAGAAGGTGGTACTTGTCTTCTTCTTAATATTTTCACTATCTTGTATGGTTCAAGAAGAGATACATGGAATATAGGAAGGAGCTTCATTGATTTTGGTAGGAATAATCAATATGCAATTGAATTGATTTTTTTAAAAATAGAAAAAGATCTAAACCTATAATAGTCCAACTTAACACAAAGATGAGTAGTCTTGATATTGTGACAAAGTAATCATACCTTGTCACTTATGTTAAATTGTGGTTGTTCTTTCCAATAGACATCTGCATTGAACTTTTGTTACTCTTAAACTTCTTTTAATTGCACCTTCATTATTGCATGTAGCTTTGACAAATGATTTGCTAAATCTTCTATTGTAGGATTATTATCTATTGAAAAGTTAAAAGTATTAAGTCATTGATGATAATCACAATTAGCAAAGAAAGGTGTTTGTTGCATAGAAGAATATATCATATTATTATAAGCAAACTTTGCCAATAGCAAAAGAATTTTCTAATTTTTTTATTGATAATTAATCGTATACCTTGAATATTACTTCAAAATTGGATTTATATGCTCTATCTATCTATCAATTTGAGGGTAAAAGGTTGAAGATAGTTTTATGTCTACTTTTAGAATCTTGAAAAGATTTTTTTAAAATCTTAATATGAATTGAGTTCTCCTATCTAATATAATATCTTGGGCAATCCATAATATTAATAGATATTATCAAAAAAAAAGCTTGGTTGTTTCTTCACTTCTGATAGATTTTGTATATAATACAAAATATGCCATCTTTGTAAAATAATCTACTATCAAAAATATAGAATCATATAAACTTCAGATTAAAAGATCCATAGTAAAATCTATAGAAATAGAAGACCATAATTGTTCTAGAATAGGTAATGGTTGAAGAAGTCCATAAGATAGATGATAAAGAGTTTTTGATCTTAAGCAAATATCACATAATTAAAAAAAATCTTTGACAACCTTCTACATTTGCAGCCACTAAAAATCTTGAGATATCAATTCTAAAGCCTTATTATATTCAAAATATTCAACTGTTGAAAAATTACAGCATGCTCAAAAAACATGTAAATATACTTCTTCTTTTGGAACATATAGGTGTCCTTCAAAATAGAATAGGTTGTTTTTTAATTCGAATTTGGAAGCATCATAAGACTAAGAAGAAGGATTCTTGATATCATGAACAAGAAAATCAGAAGACATACTTGATTGAATTTGTTTGACAAAGGTTGAATCAACAATCAATATTGATTTCATTACTCGAAGATGAAAATACTTCGAGTAATGAAATCAATAAATAATTATTCTTGAAAATCAACAATCAATATTGATTAAAAGATGCATCTCTTTCTTTTGGTGTAAGATAAGAATATTTAGAAAGGACGTTTGACAAACCTTGTTATTTTTTAGGTTGATATGTAATTTTGAAATTAAATCTTGATAAAGACATACTTCAATGAGCTTGGCGACAATTCAAAATACATATTGACATGAAATATTTAAGATTCTTTTGATCTATATATACAATGATTAGACTAGAAGCACATTCTAAATAATGATGCCATTCTTGAAAAGCTTCTATAATTACAAGAAGCTCTTTGTTATGGATCCCATAGTTAATCTCAGTTGTTAAAAATTTCTTGAAATGAAAAGCTATTG